CCAGAGGAAACGTCCTGCCACTGGCCAGGTGACACAGGAGATGTGCCCACAGCCCTAAGGAAGCTTTCTGCAAAATCAGAAAGTGGAGACTCGAGGTAAAACACCTCCCCCAGAGTGGAAAAAAGGTCTGCATGGAGCCCCCTGCTCACAACAGGGGAATTAAGAATGCAAAACCTGTGCTGTGCTGACGCTTTTTGTGTTTGGGGGGTTTTAATTTTCTTTTCTTCTCTGGGTATTATTACAAGACACCCAAGTCTGATCCCTTGTGACGTTTTCCTCTGCTACTTCTCTGGTTTGGAGTAAAGAATGTTAACAAGACAAATCCAGAAATCTAAATTAGCTTTCAGTTTATTTTGTAGAACATTTGTTCCTTCAAAAAACACCTTAAAAAAAAAAAGAAAAAAAAACCAAACCAAAATTCCTATAAAGACAGATAAAAATCCTCCCTCCCAGTTGTTGATATAACATAAAATTAAGACATGAAAGTAAGATCAATAACTCATTTCCTTATGCATTCTTGAGAACAGCAGCATAATCAAGGAGCATAAACAGCACCAAGTCATTCTAGGTAAGCAGTGTGTTTACAGAAGGGCTGTTAAATAGGATCTAAATAATGTTTTTCTTAATGCTGACTTTTTCTTTACACAGAATGAGGCTTAGAGCAACAAAATCAGCCTGGATCAACCTGTCCCACACAGTTCAGAGTCATTAGGACATGTACAGTCCCACAAAGGGATTTTTATTGTCAGCACCTGAGGCAATAAAGGAACCACCAAGTGAAGCCTCAAGCCCCAAAGGTCAATTCTTTGAAAAAGGACAGACACTTCCCACCCCTATAGAATAAAATAATCCTGTACTTGTGGGTATTGAAGATGTCAACAGCATTTTCTAGACCAGAGAAACAGTTTTACATGGAAAGGTTTGATGTTCTTCCATGTGCCAGGTGCTTTAGGACTAAAAACCTAATTCTTAGACCAGTCTCTCTGGGACTGCTGGAAAAGCCAGTGTTACCACCATTTCTACAAAACTAAAATAATGATAGTACAGGTGACTATCAACAGAAGTCTTGCTTAAAATAAAAAATAATTTATTCACTTCATAATCCAGCCCAGCATCTAAATTCAAAGTGTTTGTTTGAGAATAAGAAGCAAGAATAAGTTCAGCTGTAAAGGTAACATCCAAATAAATCAAGAAATGTAAGTGAAATGATTCCCCACCCACCCCAAATCCAGATTCCTTTCAGTGAGATTTTTAGCCATGATTTCCATTAAGTAGGAAGAGGAGGAAATCCAGCAAATAAAAATAAAATTTCACAAGGAAAGTTGGTCACATGTTCATGCCCATTTTTGATGACATTTCTCCTACATACACAGATGATTGATAAAGCTTCTACGTGTTTAAATATTGAGGAAACTTTTCCTCAACCTGCAACTTCCCCAAATAAACAAATTGAACTAACTTTGCTTAGAGCAGCCTTGTGGTTGGTTTTGCATTCTCAGTCCCAATCTCCCTAAACTAGAGACACAAAAAGAAGAAAGTCAGTACCTCAGAAAGTCCAGGAACAATTATTAAGAAACAAACTCTCTTACAGTCCATCTTGTAACTTATCTACTCACCTTTCCTTGTTGCCAAAAGATTTATTTCTAAAACTGATGCCCATAATCAACAAGAAAACTCACACCTCAAGGAAGAACATTTCCTCCCTCTTCAAACAAGCAATATTTAAAGACACCCTGAAGGAATCCATCTGTGCTAAGCTGTCCCAAGCCATCTGTCTGAAACCATTATCAATGATGGAGCTGCATAAAGGTCACTCTTCCTTCCAATCTGGTATCACCATGATATGAAAATGAAAATAAGCTCATGTGGTGGCAAAATCTACATGGCATGAAATTTTGGTTGTGCTGCTTGCAATCTGAACAGCAAGACAAGAGCAGTCCTGAGCAGAGATCGCACAGTAATTTGAGTATCCCACCATCATTTATGATGACACCAAACCAGATTATAGCTGTGGGTGTAGGTGTACAACCTGCACAGTTTACGTCCATAAGATAATCCTTCAGTGAGTTTTAGAGTATAAAAGTACTCACAGACTGCTTATTAACAACAAGCTCTCATAGAGTAGATAACTCCTGTTTGGATGCCATCTGCATCTGCAGAGGGAATATACCTGAGTCTGGAGTAGTGATGGAACCCCAAATCATCTGTAGCACGGCAATACATTTCCTCAGTGATGTGACCTACAGCAAACACCACGGATTCAACTTCCTCCTGCAAATACTGTGTGGCACCCAAAGATTTGGTCTTTATCATCAGATCTTTTAGCAAGCCATAATGGTTCAGATATTGGATAATTTTGGCATCCCAATGAATTTGCTGACATATTAGTGGGTACATTCCCTTCCTGTGCAATTGTAGATGTAAGACTCATTGACCTTTGACAGCTTGGCTTCTGCTGACTGTCAACATTAAGACCAACTATGTACTTCCACTTTACTGTTAAATAGAACTTTTTTTTTTTTCTTTCCATCATAAATAGACTTAAACCACAGGCAACAAGCCATCTAATGGATTATCAGCACATTATTTCAGATGAACTTCTTGGCATTCCCCAAACTGGAATGATGGAACAGTCTTAGACTGCACTACAAAGCCTTTTGCAGGACATGAAGGGAGTCACTTTGCAGAAGCAGGTGGAAGGTGAGCACTGCCCCTCCATCCCCCTTTTACCTGTTCTGCACCATGCTCATCGCCATCCAGTCCGAAGGGTAAACGTTCTTCCCAATGAGATCTTTGAACATTATGAATGTTTCCATCAAGAAGTCCTAGAATGACAAAATATTGTCAGGTTGTGGCTGTGAAACACAGAGTTTCTGCTCCCCTTTGCTCCCAGTGAAGCCAGCAGAAGAATTCCTGGTGATACCAGTGAGGCCAAGGTTGGAACTGCAGTCTGGCAGAACAGGAGTCTCAGAAATGAAATGTCTCCAAATGAAAGCTAAAAGCCATTACACTGAAGTCATTACCTTGGGATCTTTAGAAAATAAAGGCAGGGATGAATTGAGGAAGAAGTTGTAGTAAACAACTGAAATTGTTGAATTTTTTTAGATTAATTAAGAAAACAGTCTCACTAGGTATAAAGAATAAATAGTTTTGAAAAATACCAGATTTTGTTTTATTTAGTCCAATTTGTCCATATTTAGCGTTCCAGTAATGGTACTACTCTGACTTCAAGAAAGAGGGGAAAGTGGTCAGCTCTTGACAAGTGCAAGTAGTGCCTCCAGGGACAAACTGTCCAAGATTGCACTGATGGGGCAATAAATCCTTTGTCAACACTCTGACTTACTTCAGAGTTATGTCAGTTGTGTAAATAGACAGACATAAGACTATGGAAACCTTCTAGAACATCGTGACCCCTGGCACAAACTAGAATGTACCCCCAGAGTCAATAAATTATGCCATAAACAACTGGCATAACAGGATGCATTCAAGAATAGGGAATTTACTGCAGTTATCCTACGAGATTAACTGGAGCAGGAGTAGGCACAACAGTGAAAATGAAAAGTGGAAAGGGGTCACTGTGAGTGAAGTGGGGAGGGAGGGTTCAACTAGTTGAGGATTGATTTTGTTGGGGTTTTTTGTTAGTTTGGGTTTTTCCCTCCACAAACAGTTTAACACAAAGATCCCATTACTTGTTCTTGATCATTACATCCCCATCTCGGTGCCAGGATCAACAAGAGACATTTGTGTCTTTCCAAATTACTTCCCAACATTTACAGCGTTGTCCAATGCCACCAATAGAAGAGGGAGGGAACACAATAACACAGAGGCAGAAAATGTACAGAAACAGAATTAATTCTAGGAAGAATCAAACAAGATACTCCACAAAAATACTACTGCCTTTTCCACATTAAATTAAATACTTAATATTAGTACTCACCACTAGCTCTGAGCTTGTCTGAAAAGTTTCAATGTACACTGAATAATGCTGGTCGCTCATCTGGTTTAGGATGGCTGTCATGCACGCCACAAAATGACTCTGAAAGCAAACCAGACACAAATCAACACACGTGGATCACTTCAGGTATTGGATTGCACTCCTTCTGAAGCTGGAGTACTCAAAATGCCTGATAAATCCATTTATGCATGCAGAAATTAAATAATATTCAAGCTTTTGCAAGCCCAGATGAAAAAAACATGCTAAGAACTCGAAAAGGATCATTCAAAAGCTGCCCTGCCACACGGAAACACACATCGTGACAAGAAAACTTTATATATAATAAAGTATAACTCAGTATCACCTTAAGACTGTTAAAAAGCACATAAAGATGCCCAGGAGTCTTCCCTTCAGAATTCATAGGAAGAAAATATATTAGCATCAACATTTTCTAATAATTTTAAAAACATAGGGTATTGAAAGGAAGAAATAGTGCAATAAATGCTATACTTTTTTTAAATTTTGCAGGTGTTTAAGCAGCTATTACAGAACTCCAAACTTCCGCAGAATTTTATGACCTTCATATCTCAAAACTTCTTTCAAACTTCCTCAAAAGGAAATATTTTATTTTTCCCAATTCCCGAAGTCAAAATGCTGAAATCCACAACGTGATTTGTAATCCTGTGTTTTCGGGGAATTTACTGAAAGCCACAAAGACCTTTATCACCCAGCAATAGTAATGATTTGAAATTTTCCTTTCACACAGCGAAGAACCCTCCTTATTGATGCCTTTTAATTTGCTGAGGTTTTAAAAGCGAACCTGATTTAAACTTCGTTTTAATGAGACAATGAAGTTGAGGACGTAGAATAATTTTCCAGATATCCTAGAATCTTTTCAGCACAGTGGGTCAGAATTGATCCAGCAGCCCCTCTGAGCAGGATTTTATCCCCCCCTGGAGCTGCTCGGGGTCTCTGTTTGACTCTGATTCACTTTGTCCCTCTGTTCCATCGGGGACACGTTACCAGCTCTCATCTGCACTGTCGCACCCAACCATTTTGTCCCCGCTCCAGAGGAGGGAATCGTTCCTTCCTCAGCTCCAGGCTGTGACCACTAGAGGTCTTGTTCTTCTCTCCATGAGCAGCTGTTCGGTTCGCGCTGCCTGTTTTTTATTTATTTATTCCTACGTGAGCAGACCCAGCGCACTTCTTGCCTACAACCAGCCAAAATTACAACCTAAAGGACCCAATATACCTTCTTTTGGAGTAACAGTAACCCCCGTGAGAGCCTTGCCTACTTTTTTAAGGCTAAGAAGACACATTTTCTGCAGGTAACCCAAAAGCTTTCAGGTAAGAAATCGTGTGTTCTCGGGTAGTGATGCTCTTCTGAAAAGAAATGCTGGGTTTCCCGCAGTAGTAGTTCACTTTTACAGTTCTGGAGCAGACGAATCTTTTCTGTGATGTTCAGTGCATAGCTGAGAGGAATAATGAGCTGCAAGGGATTCAGTGCTGAAACTGTGTGGGGGTTTCCTTCTCGTGTCTTGATTTTAAAAAAAGATAACCAACAGAAGTTAGAGAATTGCCGTGAAAAGCAGCTTGTGTTTTTAGCAGTTAAGCATTCACTGCTGAATGCCTTTCTAGACTCGGGTTAAATAATCAGTGCTAGAAATAAGTAGCATTTCTTCACGAGCATTGAAGGGATGTATTATGTTGCTTAAAGGCATACAGACTTTAAGAGGGTTATTTCCTTTGTTAAAACCAACTTCGAAAAATGCGTCTGTATGTGTGATTATGGTACAGCATGAATGCCTATTCTGAGTGACTGGGTATGCTGATTTAAAAATTAACAGATCATAGCATGCCTTGAAAATAAGCAGAGACCACCTATTGCAGTGGTCGCACCCAACCTGTCAAATTCACCTCAGTGGGACTGAATGATACAGTAAAAAAAAAAAAAAAAAAGTGACAGTAAAGATGATTTGCTACAAAAACTTCTTCCATCGTTTCCATATAACTGTAAAGCAGGAAAAGACACAAGTACTGCTTGATCTCGAGGCATTTTCTCGCCAGCAATCTCAGCTATCAGAAATCAGCTGCCAGCATCTTTATAGGGTAAAAACTTGCCCCTCCCTCCTAATCCCCAAACGCCAGCGAGAAAGATTTGCTTCTCAGAGGCAGCCTCGGATCTCTGAAGTGCCCTCTCCCTCCTTCCCTTCCAGCATTGCCATTCTCACTGGCTCAACTTAAGGATAACAGAGGGTTCTTCACAGCTGTGATCAGATCTGCAAATATCTCGATGTATTCACTGAAATTCTCCTCTGTGGTTTAAGTGCCTCTTGGTGCAATGTGCAAAGAGCATGGACTGCCTGTAAACACAGTCAGTCCTGCACAAGAACCGGCTCTTACACTTGGATCAGCTGCATGTTCACTGGACAGACAGGAGAAATTCAGAGTCACACCACAAGCTAATGTTTGTGATTTAAAAACTTATTAAGTCAAAGGTTGTATGTAGGGATTGAATGGTATAACAGAGGAGGCAGAGAAGGTGAAGTTCAAACCCTAGCAAGTCATTCCAGCTGTGCTTTGGCTTATTAGGACTCATCCTGTGAATTACAGCAGAAAATGTTGATTAGAACTAGGTCAAATGTATAAAAAATAAATGTATCAAAGCAAACACTTGACTGCTGAGACAATGCAAAGAGAAGCAAGTCAGCACTACTTTGAGGAGATCTAATAAAATACGTTTTTTTCAACTTGAAAACATTCATTTCTATTTAAATACAAAAGAACCCATAACAGAAACAGCACTCAATTCTATTTTTTAAATAATAGATAATTCTCTGACAGCCTTTCAAAAAATGTGTCAGGAAATAAGGAAATCAACAGTACGAACGTTGCAGGTCAGCCAGGAGTAAATAGGTAGTCAAGTGAAAGTGAGGGGGGAAAACATGTCAGGAGACATTCAAACTCTCTGTCCATTAAAAAAAAAAAAATATTTTAAATGAACCAAAACACTGCCTTTAGTATAAACACTGCAAAGTGGTGGGTAAGGTAAGAGAAATTCTCTTTTGGTCGAGCGTATATGGAATACAGGGAAAGGAATCACAGATTGATTCTGTAAAACAAACAGGGCTCCCTAAGGTCAAGCAGGAAGAAGGTGGAATCTCTTCCACGGCTGCAAAAGTGCAGATTAGCTGTGGGTGCAACATTTTTGGGGAAAAGCAACAGCTGAGGCACATCAGGGGGATGTGAGTAAGATGCCTAACTTCAACACCTAGCAACTAAAGCACACTCTGTAAGAGGCACATGGTGACAGGTTGCCGTAGTAACTTCAAATAGAGGACAAGGATGAGGCAAATGCACGAAAAAAACCCCAGGATTAACATGGAATGGAGCTACATTTTTTTATTCTAATCTAATAGAAGCCTTTCAGTGGCTGCAGGGTGGACAAACCTTGTGCTGGAAGTTCTGGAAGGACTTAGGGGGATATTTATTTCATGGGGGCACTTAAGTGACATTTACCCACTTTACTAACACAGAGCCAGAGTGTAAATACATAACCACATGTACAGCATCAGAAAGCAGACAAAATAAAACCATGAATAATTCCTAATAATCCAAAGACCTGAAGGCCAAGATGATGTAGTTATTTTTATATTCCCTCCTGAGCAGAATATTGGATAGTTTTGAAATGTTCATTTTGCTCTCACAACTGCTATGAGGTGAGAGGACTATTTGCAGAGTACCTCACAATCTCTACTCGCTAATGATGGGCTGTGTTAATTAAAACACAGTTTGCTGTAGTGGGCAAATAAACTTATCCAGACAATCCAAAGTTTCTGAGGTGTTTGCAGCAATTATCCTATGCAGATTGGATTTGATTCTGAACTCCCTTTCAGGTTAAGCCAGAAGATTCAAAATTCATCGTGTGTTAGAGCCAGTGATTTAAAAGCGATGGACATAAAAAGGGTGACCAAGAATTTCCATGGTTCAGACAGTTCTCTGGCTGAGAACAGTTCCAAAATCTTTCTGGAGGAAAAGGGATAAATATGTCATCTGAAACGTAATTAAAGAAAAACTAAGCAACCAACTATTTCAATCTAATGTTAAAAATCATCAATATTTATGTTGGACCACAAAACACATCATTGAGAAGGTCTCACAAATCCTGCCTTCACAGAGTCATTGAGTCATCACATCTGTTTAGTGTCATGAGCTAAAAAGCAACACAATTGCAAAAAAAAAAAAAAAAAAGCATGGCAGATGCTCAGTGATGCCACGAAGAACCACAGCAGCTTGAAGGCACAGTTCCTCAGAAAACCCCATTAAACCTGGAGAACTGTGGCATATGCAGAGGTTGAAACAAACATCTCGATCATATTATGCAAACACTAAACAATGCAGGTCTGAAAGGAAAAAACAAGCAGGGTTTGAAGGGAATTGCTAATGGAGTAGTTCTGTTGCCTCTCCAGAAATAGATGTCCCTGCCAATGCATGAGCTGTCCTAAAATGTACTGTTTCTGCAAAGGCACAAATACATAAACATTGGAACAGGCTGCTATGCAACAACCTCCTGTGTTCCTCACGTGTGAAGTGGGAAACAGCTCCTAATCCATCCAGACCTGGAGCTTGCCAATGAACACACCTCACTAATGATTAATTTACAGTAACATTCAGCTGCTCTTAGTAGGTCTGAGTTTTTAATTTTCCATTTATGCACTCACACAGTTCATTGGTTCTGCCTCCTTGTGTTTCATAGCTGAGCGAACAGGAGCTCATCCCACACCTCACTGACAGCTCTGGATTTCTGACTGAAAACATGCTGGGCTGTTTTAGCTCGTTCTGCCTTTTTCTTCACATTCATATGATTTAGCTAAAAGGTTGTACAGCTATAAAACCAGCAGCCTACCAGATAGAACAATACAGAACAATCCTGTAACACAATGACATAGTAACAGCAGCTGCTCTGTAGGATTTTAAGACACGTTACAAGTTAGACAAGCAAGACAATCTCAATGTTGTCTCATTTAAGACGTATCCAGATGCAGATAAAAGCAGGAAAATAATGGTTATGGGTATGGCATAAAAGAACCTTGATTTTCTTAGAATATATCCTTTGCCATCTATTTTTGGTGTATTTTTAACTTCACACTCTTTTCCCAGCAATATTAAAAAATATATATAATTTCATTCTCCGCACTGTTTTTGCTGCTGCTGAGTTTTGTTGCTTGGTCATTTTTGTGCCATAAATCCACTCCAGAACTTCTACTCCTGTCTCTGGCTGGGATGAACACTCTGTAAGTGATTTACCTTGTGCTCAGGTCTGTGTTCAAACACAGTTGTGTAATTTAGTACTTCTCCCACAATATTAACTTCATGTTAATCTTCAAGGTGCGTGTCCCAGTAAATGATGGATAGCACTATTTAGAGTGAGGTCAGGAGGCAATCACTCGGCATGAGCAATCACTGCTTGGAAGCTGAACTGGGTTGTCCAGAGCACAGTTACCTTAAAAATGAGCTGTTTCACCTCCTCTCTTACCCACTGCTGTCACACTCCTGAGCCCAGCCCTGCTGGATCAGATGAAATCTTCCATCCTGGCCTTCAGGGATCTGTGCAGCTTCTTCCCTCCTCCTCTGCAATCCACTAATTGCTTCCCCATAATTGCTTGAGCTCCTTTCCAGTCGGGTCCCACAGGCCAGAAGGAGCTTCCTGCCCTGGTACATGAGATATCTACCGGGAAACCTGCGAATGCTGGTGCTGTCAGGCTGCTTATTTCCACAATTCCTTGTTCAAAGTGCTATTCCACTGCTCTGATGCCACTGAACTTGAGAGGGGCACTCAAGTGACTTGTCCTGCCAAGTGTGCCAGGGCACTCATTGCCATGCAGTCAGGATTCCACAGAAACAGTGGAACTACACGCACAAAATACAGGCAAATAATAAGATTAAAAGTACTATCCATTTACTGTAGCACAGACTGGTCAATCTCTTGCATTTGAAAGGGCTGGAAACCTAGCTGGGATCTTGCAGGAAGGGATGCAGTGGCTGGGAGAAAGGAGTTCCCTGCCTGGAGGGACAAGATTGAACAGCAGGAAATAACCCAGACTGCAGAGCAAAACACATCAGCTGCAAGGGACAGCAGCATTGGGGTCTAAAAGGGCAGAAGTGGGCAACTTAAACTCATGAAAGTGCAGTAACATCTTTTATTTCTAAGCCATATATTTTAAATTTACACACATTGTGAAGATGAATGTCTTGGATGATGATTCACTTCCTTAAAACTAAACAGAGCCGCCTCCTGTATTCCCAGAACTAAACCATTCTATTTGATTTTGCTCTTTTTTCAGCTGCACTCACTGAAGACAGAAAAATGAAATTAAATTTCAACTACACAATCAGAGATGAGACTAATATAATATATTTGTGAATGGTTAAAACAAAGCTTTATCACAATAGTTCTGCTTAAAACTGCTGAAAGTCAAAACATCCCTCTTAGTTTTAAACTGATCTTACAAAGAAAACAAGGCCCAATAAAAATCATTTTCCAACAACTCACATCCACTACACTAAAAAATCTGCCCACTGTCTTTGTTAAGGGTTGAACAATAGCAAGTAGCAACTGTTGGAAGAGCTTTCTTTCGTATCTGAATTATTTTTCATATTTAAATTATATCCAATAGGGGTTTATATTGGGGTTTTAGTTCTTATGTAACAGTGGGCTCCACTTTGAGTCATTACAGAATGTCCTGCTAGTGAATATTCCACAAACCACTGCCAAATGTGCCTCCTCCTCAGGTGTGGGTCTCTTTAAGGAGCCACTTGTGAGATGTCCTAGTTGGTTCAGTCTCAGTGACAATGCAACAGAAACAAATCATCTGGAGACTACAATAACATAGAGAAAAATTTCCCAAATATCGTTGTCTGCACCAAGAATTTGGGCACATGCTAAACTCTTTTAGGGAGATTCTGCCCTACTAACACATTATCCTGGGCTCTGGCAGAAGAAGGAATGCTCCTTTAATGACTCGCTGCACCAGCCCACTGAGAGCTGGATTTATCATGTGCTTACAAGAAAACTAGAATGAAGATGGGAAGGGATGTTTCTCTGAGTAACTAAATCAGGGATTATTTTAGCACTTGGTTTTTCCTTCTTTTTTTTTTTTTTTTTTTAATGAGAAATAGATAAACCAGTCAAAAGCCTGTAAAAAGTAAGGTCATTAGTAGAGGACATGAACAACCGTCTGATTACACAGTTAAGGATACATTTATCACCATAAATATACACAAAACACTCTTGTAGAAGCACAGGAGAGAAAATAAGTAACATTCACAGCTCAAGTTAATAAAGAAAACTGCTCGTTTTTCTTAATACAAATGCTACACTAACCAAATACTTGGAATTTATTTTTAGATATGTTACTGCCTTTGACTGCAGTGTTTGGAGAATTGGCTTCATTTGTATGTGTTTGACAGTTCTAAAGCTGTACCTACTCGGGGAGCTGCTGAACTGGACTCTGGGGCAGCTCTCTGGGGCAGCTCTCTGGGGCTGGGACAGCAGTTTTGCCAGTGAATCCCACATGGAATCCCAGAGTGCCCTGATTTGTGCTCCATCAGGAGTGTGAGTGCCCTTGGGGTGCTCCATGATTGCAATCCAGGAGCCTCCAAATCCTCAAAAAACTTCAGAAAGACAGGACTGAACTCCTGCTCCTGGTGGTTCTCAGAGCACATCCCACTGCTCACAGGTGACACCTCTGCTACCCTGGCACTAAACCCTTCTGACAGCAAATGACGTCCTTAGTCTGAAATTCAACTCACCTCCCTCAGAAAAACCCCAAACATAAATCCTCCTCAGAATAATTGGTTGTTATTCCACCAGGTCTTCCCAAACACAGACCGGGTTTCAAACAGCTCTCAGCAATTTTGCAAACACAGTCACGAAAATATGATGTAGTGCCATGTCATCTGACCATCTGAACTCCTTCAGAGCATGACAGCTATATGCCAAAAAACACACCTCTTTGTGCTGTTTTACTGCCAAAAACATTCAGGGCTATTTGCACACATTTATTTTTCCCAATCACTAAAACTAGGATTTAATCCAAATATAACACCTTCTCCTGAACAGAGCAAACAAAATAATGAGCGTAAACACATGTTAGTGAACTGCATTCCTGGCAGAAAACAAACAAAATCGGGATCACACACATGTATGAGCAGACTTATGAGTCAGAGGGCCAGAGA